TACTACTAGGCCATTTTACCAGGTTTCCAGCAGTAGTATTTCTGAGTGGATCCATTATCCCAGTCCAGTACAAACCTGCAGTACACAAGAGCCTCATTAGAACAGTGTATGGACGGTGATTATAAAGCAATGGAAGGGAGGTCAAAGAGATGGATAAATTGGCAAGAGGCAAGAGGCTCAGGTATGCAATAATTCTTTAAATGTGTGTACACAGAATATCTGAAGCTTCTTAACCTCCACACTGAATATCAAGGGAAATCAACAAATGGCAGCAACCTTTCTGGGGTTTAACCAAATTGAATGAAATATGCAGGCACATACAGTAGATTGAAACCTATCAAGTTTCAGGCAAATAGATGCAGAGGTTTTTAATGTAAGCAAGCTTTACATTTTGAGGTGTTTTGTTTTTTTAAGGCTTGCCTATAACCTTTTGAATTTTTCAGCATAATTCAAAGAAATTTGGAGTGGGGGTGGAAGAAGGGGTTAGATATTTGTTCCTGCTCAGTTGATGCTAGCCAACCATTTCCTTCTACATTGCATTACTGAAAGCAGAGGGGAAAAGGAGTGTCCAGGTAAAATGATCCCTTGGTTGGAAGCAGAGCTGTCAACCATAAAATAATACCTTTCTCCCTCAACTCTCTAGTGCTTTCCTTACATAGAGAGCTTGCAGGAAAATCTATCAATTTTCACACATTTGCTGCCTGTGTCTCTGTGCCCTTCCAAATCTCTGAATTGGTCTCAAATGGGTTTCTGAACAGCCCAATTTGGCTTGGATAACTCCTGAATCTTTCTGAGGCAGCTTGCTTCAGTTCTTGGATTCACCTAGACTGAATGCACACCTCTGGCACATATAACACGCAGAGGCCATTGAAAAGAGGCATTATACTATTGGCTCATGTTCAGGTAATTCCTATATCCTCTTTCACCTTCTGCTTCTGTGCCAGCATTTAGCCATTTAGTGATGGCATTTATACCATGCTCTGCAAAGATCAGCTGCAGAGCAGAGCGGATGAGCTGCTCCCTGCAGTCTATGTCCATATGTTCTTCTTGTCTCCTCAAACTCCCCCCACATTTTTGCATTTGACCCCTTCTTGTTGTAACACTGTAGAATATAAGAGGAGCTGTGGTAGGCCAGTCCAGATGTTCATCTGGTCTAGTAAGTGTTTTTAGTATTGTGTTAATGTGTAACACATCCTGGGACCTGAGGGAGAGGAGCAGCAATCCATCATCATCATCATAGTATTCAGTTTCCAGCTGAATACTGGTAGGGTAAGAAAACAGCAATGCTACCCACATTCATGTCTAAGCACATGGTATTTTGAAATATACCTTCTACTGTATTCAAATGTGTTCTGTCTTTATTTTGTTGTTATTAGCCAATATATCAATTTTATTTTTTTGTACCATTTCGATTCAGATTTGTTTTAAAAATCTGTGCTCCAAAGCACTTTGCAGTGCCACTCAATTCTGTCTCATTGCTGTTGTGTGTCTTACCTAGTCCTTAATTAGGATGAGGCAGAACACCAGAACCTGAGTGGAGCAGAGAGTTCAAGAAGTGCCACAGAGGAAACAAAGCAGATACTTTCCTCCCAGATATCATTCACTCTGTGCATCATAGGTGGTTATTTTCTGCCAATTAGAGCAGCGAGAAACCAGTGTGGATTACAGCTTCCTATATGTATGAGCTGTAGGCGTTCAGTGTTCAGAATTACACTTGGTTGAAAAAGTATGGCTTAGGTAGCTGCTGACAGTCCAGTATCTGTTGTTGGCACCTGCTTGCCTAATTTCCATATATTTACACCCCCCCCCCTTGGGCCTTGCACGTCAAAATAAGTTTTGATAGGCTTAAACGTAAATTTACTTGATGGCACTATTTGTTAGTTTTAACAAATCCCTTGAGATGTCCTGTGCATTCCTGCAAAGCTCTGCATCGCAAACTTCTTCCTGATCCCAGTGTAAGGCTGTTTCTATTTTCAGAAGGTCCCCTTCCTGCGTCTGTTTGGCTGGCTAGAATCAAGTGCTCAGAACAGAGCATCCTTTCTGTATCCCGAACTCCTTTCTTCCTTCCCAGCTAGACAAGAAAACAAATACTGAGAGCAGCACGTGCGCAAGCGTCGGGTGCTGCTGCTGGATCTGCCTTTACGCTCGGCTGCCCAGCTCGGACGTGTTTGGATGATACCTTTATTTGCAACGGCGAAGAGGCAGATCCAGCCTACCCACCCCCACCCCCCTCTCCGATCTGGAACGGACATGTCTTTGGCCATCCGCTTTCCTCGCCTCCTCATTGTTGCACGCGCGTTACGTTGTTGCCAACAAAGGCGATGTGGCAAAACCACACACAAGGGGGACAAATCATCATAGCAGCGAGGAAGGAAAAGCCCGTCTTGCGATGTGTCACACATCCATGAGGGATGCTTCTGCCTGGCTTTTGCATAGCCCTGATTTGCCGGCCTCTTTTTCTCCTCCTTTTCTGAAGGAGGCAGCGCTGGAGAACCGGGGGGCGCCGAGAGGGAGGGGAAGAAGACGGAGAGCCGAGAGCGAGCGAGGGGGCGGCCGGGGGCTCTCGCTGCCCTTCTCCCACAGAACGACCTTCCCCGCGGAAGGAGCTGCTGTGGGTGCGCGGCGCCAAGAGGGGGCCGCGAGAAACCGAGGGGGTGGAGGCCCCTCACAAAAGGAGACCCCTCTGCCTGCGCGCTCCGTCAGCCTCGGCTCTCCTTCTCGCCCACCCCAGCCCGGCCGAGCGGCTCCGACTTCCTCGGCGAGCGGGTCGAAACCGCGAGGCTTTGCTGCAGGGGGGTGGGGGGGGGTGGGAGGCGAAGCGGGAAGACCGCGGCGACACCAGCCGGCGTCTTCCACAGCAGCAGCAGCAGCGACCCCGCGCGCGCCTCACATCGCCACCAGCAGCCCAGCCACCCTCTCTCCCCCCCCCCCACCACCTCGCTCGGTCGCGCGCCCGCCCGCCGGTCGCGCGCGTGCGCGAGCCCCAGGCTGAGTCCTTTCTCTCTCGGTGTCTCCCTCTCCTGCTTCTCTCTCTCTCTTTCTCCGAGCCTCCTCCATCCAGCACCGGCGCCGAGGATGGGCAGCGAGAGCGCGCGCAGGAGCAGCCCCGGCTCGGCCGCTCCCCCCTGCGCCCGCTCTTGCTCGTGCTGCTCCTCTTGCCCCACTGCCCCCAGGGCGGCGCCTCGGCTGCGCTCCCGCCTTTTCCCACCGAGGACGGGTGAGTGAAGGAGTGGCTCCTCCCTCGGAGCACCTGCTCTAGCCGGCGAAGGGGGTGGCGGCGGGGGGCGGGCGAGGGGTGAATTTTGGCGCGCTCTCGGTCTTCGGGGCAAGTGGCGGGCGGGCGGGCGGCTGCCTGAGGGGGACAAGTCAGTCAGTCAGTCAGCTGCATTCCTGCCCCGCAGGGAAAGGGAACAGGCTCGCCTTTGGGCAGCCCCTCATAGCTGAGGAGACCGTCTGAGGAGGGAGAGCGAGAAAGGGAGCCTGTTCTTGGGACGAGGATAGAAACAACAGCTTCCCAATCTCCTCGGGTCCAGCGCCCCAGAACCCTCCAGCGTGGTTTTTGAATAGCACGTGTCCCTCTTGGCCTCTGGGGTCACTGGGCACCCAGGAGGCATTTCCCTTCTTCCTTTCGCTCATCCTTTTTTTACCCATTTTGAGTCCTCAGCCCAGCCGAAGAGACCTTTCTCTGAGAGCTGCTCCTTTCAGAGCAGCTATTAACTTTTCCTGATTTTTTTGGTGCTTGTTTCGAAAGAGAGAAGTGGGTGAAGAGGAGCTGTGGAGGTTTTCCCCCTCGACAGTCCCTTCGTGCCCTTGCAGGCTTCTCTCCTTTCCCTCCTCCTCCTCCTCCTCCTGCTCCTTGCCGTACAATGAAGTCTTTAAAAGAGATTCCTGCTTGCCCGCTAGCTGGCTGGGCTCGCGCCAGGACTTCTCCACGGGAGCGCTGGACCATTCCTCGCGACTGAGCAAAGAATGCCATCTATGCAGAAGAAGAGGGCACCCTGCACACCTGGCTCCCCAGGGCTGCGGTGATGTGATTGGGGGCCATAGGTAAGCCGTTAGGATGCTCTCAGGGCGAAGGCAGGAAGGAGACGCCAAGAATGAATGGCCAAAGCACCCCACCCCTCTTCTTAGGTCTCCTTCCAGATGGGAGAATGGGGATGTTGCATTACTGAAATGCCTTTTTTCTCTTCCCCCTCCCTTTATATCGCTGTAGGCTGTGTAGTATTTTCAGACTATTTTCAGTATTTCAGTAGTGCTCTGTGGAAGGGTTGTTATGACAGCAGTTTCTCTCTCCACTCACCCCCCCCCCAACACCCCATCATTACTTTATAGACAGCATCGCTGGCTACATTAGAAACATAGGTTTTTGAGCCTGTTGCTGAAGTAACTCTGCAATCTTGTAATCTTGGAAATATGAGCATACACACACACACACACCTGAGTCAGTGTTTATTGTAATAATGGTTCTGCTGAGCTGAAGAAATTGGAGCATGTAGTAGTAATCCTACTATAATTCTTATTTGGGTTTTCGGTTTTCAGTGCATGTGTGTCTGTCAAATATGACAAAGGGACTTTTCTTCGTTTATACTGCAGCAGCATAGATTTTGGATTATAGGACGGAATGCTTTAAAAGCACACACACACCACATTCACACACAGTAAGTTTCACAGGCACAGTGAAATGTCTTTTTGAATACTGGTATCTACCTAGAAACCAAGGTTGTAGCACTTGATTTGTGAACCTGCACTTGATTTGTGAGCATTGACTAACTTTTGAGAGCTCCTGGATTGCTGAAAACTAGGTAGTAATTGCTAATAGTTGAAACGTTGTTGGTAGTTCAGAACTATCAGTTCCATGGGTTTTTATGGCAATGAGTCAGTCTGTCATTACTAGTAATGGTTATGTCATGGAGGGTTTGCTTTTCTATCACCATATTAAGCTGTAGCTCAAAAGCTACTGCTCTGATTTCTCTGCCCCAAAAAATTATTTTCAGAAAAAATATAGCATTTGTATATATATGCATACAATGGTGTCACATGTGAAAAAAGAGAGAAGTGGTTCCTTGTTCTCTCTTTTTTCACACGCGACACCATTGTATGCATATATATACAAATGCTACATTTGTGGTTCCTTGTTTCATCTTAACCTTCACTTCCCCCCACCCTTTTAAGGTAAGCATTATTTCATTAGCCACATGTGGAGGGTTGTAACTTAAACATAGAATTCTACCTCCCCCTCGTTTTAAAGGCTTTTGCATTTGTACCACTTCAGCCTAGACCTATGAGAAGTTTACCTCCATATATTTAGAAACCTTTGTTCTATGGAGAATAGGAAAGGACTACAGTACAATAAAATAACTAGAGGAAGAAATAAAATGGAAAATGCAACACAGTGCCTTTGTTTGCAAAAATAAAATAAGTGTCTAATATGTTCAGCATAATATAGGGAATGAAAAATTAAGTAGAATAATTGCTATGTACTAGTAATAAAGGGAATAAAATAAGAAATAATTGCATCTATAGACAAAGAAGAATTCTGCAGACTTGCCTTAGTACAAACACTGGTTAGATAAAGTAATTTTTTAAGAAATTGGAATTAATTGGAACATTTATTATTGGATTGTACATTACATTAAAGCAAATATCAGCTGGATCTTTTATCCCTTAAACTGAACCAACATCATGAACAGGCACCATGATCCATGTAGCAGCAGTTGCTTCAGATACCTTACAGTTTGACATAAGCCTGTTGCTGCTGGTTCAATAAAACTCTGATGACGGTGCTTAGTTAGGAAAACTCCAGGCACTGAACCCAATCTAGAGATCCTCTGTGTGTGACAGGTGGCTGCATGCCTGCATGCTGTTGTGCACAAGGGCTCTCCATTTGCCCCCACCATACATATAGTTAGCTCCATTGGAGTGAGACTAAGGCAGGACTAGGGGAAACAATTTTAATTCATTGATCCCACTTCTTCAAGCAAATGCCAGCCAACCTACTGTTAAGAGATTAACATACGCAGGCTTAATTCTGCAAAGATCACTGATATGACGAAACAGCCTTGGATGCTGAATAGAAAGGTTTAGCCCCCATCCACAAGCACATTTTAGGTATATGAGATGCACTCATTATGGTGACCTGCACCCAGATTGGTTTTGCCAAATCAGCATGAAATTCTAGTATGCCATCTACACCTGGGGAATATCTGTACCAGAATAATCACTGATGGGGTGAAGGTGAATTTTAGCATAGACTGAGTTTAGAATAATACTTCAACACAGGTATATGGAAGATGCTTGGGGCTTATTGACTTTTAAGAAGGATTGGGCTGGCAATTCATACTTCTGTGTGTGTTCTTTATTTATATACCTTGGATTTTGATTTATTAAAACAAAATGTCAAAGTTCAACAGTATACGCTTATCTCGCTTTGTCTTTGTAACATCTCTGTCAAGGTAAGAAGTTGAGTCGTCCAAGGCCAATGGCTGAGCATTATGGCTGAGTGGATGGCTGAAGTAGTGGGGGGGGGGGGTTGTTCAATCATCTCACTGGTTTATAAATGTGTATGACTAAATTGGTTAATTTTACCTGCAAGGGGGTGGGGAGGAAGAAATATGCTGGATAAAAGAGATTTCCACTACTAATGCTCTTAAATGATAGTTTCATATATCTGAAATATCTGAATTATATTATTTCATGAAATAATATTTTAAGTACAGGGGGTTATATAGCAAAATGTATATTTAAAATAATACTATGAGAATTTACTGTGTTTTAAAAAACTAGAATGCATCTGAGTCCAAATGTTGATTTGGGGGTGGGTGCGTTTTGGAAAATGCAACTGAATTCTAATCTGTGATTCTGTGTTAATCATATGCAATCAGTTGGTTGGAACAACTGAAGAAGATATTATATTGGAAACATTATTGAAAACATTAAAATGGTGTGATACAGGTAAAGATATAAACTTCTGTAATGAATTAGAGAACAGTGGCCGAAATTCTTCACTGAAAAAGAGGCAATGGAAAGAAAAAGTGCTTTCGAGGTTCCAAGGGCATGAAAAGTATTAATGTGATAACCAGAACAGACAACAATAAAGAATATAATGAAAATAACAATACTGTAATACTATATAATATTTGGAACTTTCAAGTGTTTAAGGCTCTTCTCAGGTTTTGTTTCAGCAAACATGCATATATATTTTTTCTACTTAAATCATAAACCTTAAACATTTATATCACATTAAGCATCTCTTTCAAAATACCCAATTTCAAATGACTTGGGATTTAATAGAATGGGTGACAGCCAACATTGTGCCCAATACAATTGGATTTTCCCTTCCTCTCTTGCTCTCTGCAGCCCCCCTGCACACTCCCCAAATCTGCTTGGGACTGTTTGTGGGGACCCCTGAAACACATATGGGGGACACATGAGGGATTACAGGGAGGGGAAAGTGTAGGGGAAGTCATGTTGCACAATTCATTACACAATCAGGTGGACATCACTTACGGTACTTATAATGGAGCTGGTTTGGGGTTTTGTGGCCAATGATGTCCCTGTATATGCAAAGTGCATATATCCCCTGTATGAGAGGCATTGATTCAACCTGTTAAATAAGGGAGACTTTGTAAGCTAGGACACTGAATCCCCCATGTTTCAGGACAGAATTTATGGGATATGGCAGTGGTGTCCAAACTTTTTTCAAAATTGTTGCAGAAGTTGCTGAAGTTTTTTTAGGATTTTACCCCAGGAAATAAGCTACCAAAGAGGCCGGATTAAACCGACCGGCAGGCTGGATTAGGCCCCCAAAATAGACTTTGGACATGCCTGGGATATGGAGACCCTCCATGGTCATGTGTTAAGAGTGCTTGGGAGTTCCATCTCTTTTCTTTGGGTGCTTAAGAAAGAAATGCAGACATAATGCTCTGGGGCATGGTCTCCCCCTCCCTGCTCAGTCCATTATCCCAAGCTTACAAATGTACCCTACATTTTCCATAAAGGTTACACCCTTCCTTTTCCCCTAAATATAAAACTGCAGAACAGTTGAGAAATCCTAAAACACTTGACAACACTTTTACAACTGTACAATAAAAACTGCAACTAAAATAATAAAACTAAACAAATAAAGCAATGGAATAAAACTGGAAAATTCACCTATGATTCAGAAGAACAGATTCCTTCATATAACATAATCCTGCAAATAGCTTGGAGCATGATGTCTGGTCCTTGCTTGGTAGCACTGACCATCGAGTGCTGGATTTGATGCAGCAGGAGTGGTGAGCAGGATGACATTGTCCCTTTCTATTAAGTTATCATATTCGGGTCTTTCAGTGGTAGTGAAACGTGGTTTGATGTGAGATACATTTCTTGTGACTTTGCAGATTCCTGTCTGTGCAGTTTCCATTGTGTTCATGTAGAGTAGCTTCTTTCACTAATAGCATTGGGCAGGCACCTGCAGTGTACTCCTTTCGACACTTGCTAAAAATGTTTTTGTTTTGGCAAGCCTATACAAACATGTAGATTGTGGACATGTGTTTCAATCTGGTTTTTAGTTTATTGCTGATTTTAATTGTTTTTGAGTGTTTTACATAGTTGGATTTTTTTGCTGCTATTTCTGTTATTTTATTCTATTTGTAAACTGTTTTGGGGTTTTACTGCAATCACTTTGTATATAAAACCTGCTAAATAAATAAATAAATAAATAAATAAATCCATAGCCGAGACCCACTTCCCATTCTTATAGGCATGGTGTAGCCCTGTGCTATCATAACTGAGCTGTTTTGCTTTGCTGGACTTATATACTCCTGGTATTTTGTCAGGATTATTTGATTAGTTATTTGGAATCCTCTTTTCTCATGTAAACAAGGGACGCGGGTGGCGCTGTGGGTAAAACCTCAGCACCTAGGGCTTGCCGATCACATGGTCGGCGGTTCGAATCCCCGCAGCGGGGTGAGCTCCCGTCTTTCGGTCCCAGCTCCTGCCCACCTAGCAGTTCGAAAGCACCCCTAAAGTGCAAGTAGATAAATAGGTACCGCTTTATAGCGGGAAGGTAAACGGTGTTTCCGTGTGCTGCGCTGGTGCTGGCTCACCAGAGCAGCTTCGTCACGCTGGCCACGTGACCCGGAAGTGTCTCCAGACAGCGCTGGCCCCCGGCCTCTTAAGTGAGATGGGCGCACAACCCTAAAGTCGGACACGACTGGCCCGTATGGGCAGGAGTACCTTTACCTTTACCTTTCTCATGTAAACAAGAAAGCAAAGTGTTGAGAGCTGATGATGGAGACATTCACATTGGTTTCACCATTGGTTTCGGTGGGAGTGTTTTAATTTAGCCCAAATTTGCTGTTGGTTTGTCACATTATGTTGTAACTGAGGAGAGTATAAGATCAAAAAGGTTTGGCATCTCCCTTGCCACTACTCCCCAACTCCAACCATTTTTGTTTCTTATTCTGGCAATGTACTATAACCAATTACAGTGGCATTGCATAAAGCCTGCACAATGACAATGTTATGACAGTATTAATCGACTACATCATGCACAGACATAAGGGATCTAGTAGCAATATTATCCATGTCCATTAGGAATTACTCATGAATACTATTGTCCTTGACTTATGCTTGATGATTTAATAATTCCATCCTGCAACACCTTCATTCTAAACAAACTTTTTTGAAAGTAAGTTGCCCTGAAATCACTGGGGATTATTTCAGCTGATTGTTAAATAAATGGATAATCTTACTACAGTGAGTAAATGAAGACACCATTGCAGCATTTTAAAATTATTATTATTGCATAGGCTAAGTAAGATGGTGAGGCACATCATGAATTGTATGAATTCAAAGAGGTCTTGGTGGAAATCACAAATTTGGTATGTACTTTTACCAAGGTCAGGGACGCAGGTGGCACTGTGGTCTAAACCACTGAGTCTCTTGGGCTTGCTGATCAGAAGGTCGGCGGTTCAAATCCCCATGACGGGGTGAGCTTCCGTTGCTCGGTCCCAGCTCCTGCCAACCTAGCAGTTTGAAAGCACGCCAAAAAGTGAAAGTAGATAAATTGGCACCGCTCTGGCGGGAAGGTAAACGACAGTTCTGTGCACTGCTCTGGTCTCAGTGTTTTGTTGTGCCAGA